TAAAGAAAAGAATATCAATAAAGCTTTTCTTTCTTTTTAAGAGGCTGGGAATATTTACCAAGTGCTAGTCAGTCTAAGTGTCTATCACCTGATCACACATTTTTCTTCCTTACTAGGCAGACCTCTGGTATCTCTTATTCAGTGTTACCTTTTTCCTTGAGGACCCAGTCTTGGTTAAACAGGACTTCTTCAGAGACAAGTAGCCCCCAATCACTTCAATTTCATGGACAGTGGGATAACGTTTCTTGAGTAACATCCCCACATTCTCATTGGATGCTTCAGGATCTTCAAGAGCTTTCCCTTTCCATTGGTCTTCCTCCTCCTCTTCCTCAGTATACAGTTCCCCATTTGGTGGGCTGAAGCTTCCCTCAGGGGCAGCTGGTTTCCTATTAGGCACCACCGTGAATGTATTGTTGCTCAGGTAGTGAACTTCAGATTTGCTGTTAGGTAGAGAGGGATGAGGTCGATAATGAGGAGCATCAGGTAATCTGAAAGCTGGTTTGGCCTCTTGGTAGGATTCATCATCTGAATTTACCTCATCAATATAAGTAACAGGAAGCCCTGGTCTATCCATGTCTTCAGGAATCTGGGTAACTGAGGAACTGAGAGATGTGTCAGAAATCTCAAAGCCTCCACAAGGCTCTTGTTTGGAAGGTCTCTCTATAGAGGGGGTCGTCAATACCTTCCCTGGCCATTTGTGGTTCACCTCTGAGAGAGCTGTGGCTATTTGTTTCTGAGGATCTCCTTCCTCAGCTGCCTGCAGGGCCTCACCCCCCAAGTGATTCCTGTAGGCAGGTACAACTTCCTGTGGGTGCTGACCCCCATTTTCCAGAGGTATATGGGTCAAGTGGCCAGACTGAGAAGAAACACTGGCCTTTCCCTTTGGCTGCTCAAAGGCTTTGCTCCCCACTGGATGGCCAGCCCTGGAGCCCAGTACTTCTACCCTGGGCTTGGGGATGACAGCAAAGGAGTTTTTGGAGTTCATCCGGAGGTTGGCCAAGGCCTTAGCCTGGACGTTCTCATCAGGGATGGTCTCCATATCTGGCTTGGGGGCAGGCCTGATCTCAAAAGAGTCATTGGTGCTAGTGGCTGCAAAAACCCACCTTTGCTGACTGGGAGTGGCACTGGCCAGGCTGTGTTTGGGGAATTTGGAAGGGGCACCTGGAGTGGCACTGGGTTTCCCATTGGCACTACCCATCGGGCAAGGGCCAGGGGAAGGGTGGAGGATAGGTGCCTCCTCCTCAGCATTTGGCTTCCGATTGTCGGTGCCTTTGGAAGTACTGGAAGAGGCTGACACAGGCCCATCCACTGCAGGGAGGCCATTGGCAGGACCCAGATGGGGCTCCATGGCAGGCCCATTTGGTACTGTCCGGCCTCCTCTGGTCAGACCCCGGGGGTGGACAGTGAAAGAGTTGCTGCCAGTCTTCTGCAGGAAGTCACTGAGCCGGGATGGGGCAGCTGCTGATTCCTGCTCCCTCTGGAACCAGGCGGCTCTCTCTCCGACGCTGGGAGTACGGGGTCCGGGGCTAGGCAGAGAGGGGGAGGTCACCGAGCTCCGCTGCTCGACGGCAGAAGGCTTTGGCACCAGAGGCCGGCTCCGTTCAGGGCTCCCGCGACGCCGAGGCGGGGATGGGGCCCGAGACCGGTGCTCGCCGCTAGCTAGCGGGGGATCGAACTTCTCCAACAGACGGCTGACTCTGCCGGGCTGCGCGGCCGCCTCCGCGGCTGCCCGGGGCGTCTCGTAGATCACCACCTCTGCGGCCCGGATCTCCGCCACGGAGCAGCCACGCCGGGCCAGCAGCTGCTGCACTGGGTCCGGGCCCGGGCTCGGGCCGGCGGTGCTCACCTCGTAGGGCCGTTGGCCGGGCAAGAAGCCGGGCTCGGACTCGATGATGAGGATGTTGTCGGCTCGAATGGTGCGGATGCCCGGAACCCGGCTGTACAGCTCCAGCAGCTGCTGCACCGGCCGCCCCGTCGAGGACCGGGCCCCAGGCGCGGCGTCGCGCCCCCTCCGCTGCCGCTTGCGCTCCGTCTCCAGCCGTATGAAGGGGTTCTCTCGTAGCGGGCCCAAGCTATCGGCCAGCACCAGCCGCTCCGCCGCCGGAGGTGGCTCCCCTGGACACTCGCCCCCAGCGCCGGCCGCAGTCCCTGCAGCAGCCTCAACTCCAGCCCCAGCGTCGGGCGCCCCGGCCAAGCCCCGGGGCCCGGCCCCCAGGCCCGCCAGCTTGGCTCGCTTCCTCTCCAGGATCTCCCGCTTCCATGCCGGCAGCACGGAGCGTGAGCCGGACGCCGCCAGTCCATCGAGGCCCGGCGGCCGCCGAGGCTCAAAGCTCGTCATGGTGCGGTGCAGCGCGAGATGAGGCAAAGCCGGGCAAATCCGCGCCAGCGTTAGTGCCCTGCTACCTGCCTGGCGGGCCGGCCGGCTAGTGGACTGATGGCAGAGGTCCGGTTCGCCTGACCCCCACCGCTACCCGCTTTCCCGTTCGTGACCACGCCCCTATTCTCGGGGCCACCGCCCATTGGGGAAGGCCCCTCAGGACCCGCCTCGTGTGTGCCAGGGCCACCTATGGCAGACGAGGAAGGGCCGTCTCGCAGCTCATGGAGGGTAGGAGTTCTGTTTATTGGCCAGTGACCTTTCTTGCTCCGCCTCTTGAGATAAAGTACTGTTCATTGGGGAATAAGATCATCACCAAGGTCGGTGCTTATTGGGAAAAGACCCCACAGACTCGCCCAGTATGTGCCTGCACCACCTATTGGGAAAACTGGGGGCGGGGTGAGGCAAGGGGAACGCCCTCTCCCCGTACCCCCCCAGAAAGAGCTCTTCTATTGGCTAACGATTACCCTCGCTCGACCCCCAGGGGAAAAGCACCCTTAATTGGGTAAGACTCCATCACCCGGGCAGGCGCCCAATTGGGGAAAAGCACCTTAGACCCTCCTCTTGGGTAGTCATGGTGTATTGTAATTACTTTCCTCCTCCTGCTATTCCCTCTTAAGACACTAGTGTAGGCAACAATGTTCCTGCAAGGGTGGAAATGGGAGGGTCCTGGCCCGCAGCCCAGGCACTTCCATCAGGAAGAGAGCTTCCAGCTATGAGTGACTAAACTTGGGTTCCACCTCTCCGTGTGACCGTGAGTCTTGTTCTTGCTAGTCCAAGGATACAGCCCTGGGTAAACTGGGAGAAAAAGGAATGAGCTAAGTCCTCTGACATGTCTCAGGTAGACCTGAGTGTAACTCCAATGTGGACTCCTAGGAGGGCGGGAAGCAAAGGTTTTTGTTGTTCAGTCGTATCCTAGTCTACCGGGCCCATGAACTTTTGTCCATAGGATTTTCTGGCAAAGATGCTGGAGCGGGTTGCCATTTCCTTCTCCATTGTGTCCTTATTTTACAGAAGAGGAAGTGAGACAAATATGGGCTAAGAGTCTTGCCCAGGGTGACATAGCTAGTGTCTAAGGCCGAATTAGAACTGCAGGCCCAGTGCTCTATCCACTGAGCCACCTAGCTTCCCAGGCAGAGGTTAGGCCAAATTATTAACTCGGCTTAGTAAAAGTGGGCATTTCACTTTCTCAACAAACTTACTCTGTTCTCATGGTATTTTGCTTTTATAGTGAAATGTAAGCAGTGACTTTTTGCAAGAGTCATAGGATCATATATTTAGAGCTGGAACAGACATTGAAAGTCATCTAACCACCTCATTTTACAGATGAGGGGAAAAATAGACTGGGGCTTCCAAGATCCCAATACCTGAACAGTTCACAATACCCTCTGGGATCCCCTTTAATCCAGAGAAAGAATAACCTGACCAGAATATCTTCTTTAGGTTTGTTTAGGTAGGTTTGTTTCCTTCACAGTTACCCCAAGTGAAATCCAGTGGTGGGAAAAGCCTAGGATTGTGGACCAAGGGATTGATGTGAGAAGAATCTAAGCCAAAAGAAGCCAAAATAACTAACACCACTGTGTTCCTACAATTGCTAACTTTTCATCTCATTTTCTCCCATTTCCTTGGAAGCCTTACCACTACATTACAGTCAAGGGAAATTACTCATCTCCAACTCCAAAGTTCTAGTAGTAAAATATAATGGTCATACCATGACTTCATTAGTATCTGCCTCCAGCCAGGATCACTGGTTGGCCAGGAAACCATCCACACCCAGGGTTGCAATAGACTAGAGGCCCTTGACCTCACCAATTTTTTCCAGGTTGCATTAGTGTTTACCTAACTAAAAAGTGGGCTAACTGAGGAAAGTAATGATACATGGAAATATATGGGTAAAAGGAAGAGAGAGTGTAAAAATTTTGGTTTTTGGTGCACTGACATGGGATTTATATAAAGTTTTAAGATGTGCAAAGTACTTTGTATACATTATCTTATTTGAGACTAACAACCCTTAAAGAACTATACAGAAATATGCAAATATACAGATATATAGAAATGCATATTATGTAATCTAAGTCATCAAATACTTTTAGTAACAAAGCTGCAGTCCGGTTGATGTTATAAACCTTTAATATAAAGGGTAGCAAGGACTTAACTGTTACCTTCATCCAGGATTACTAAAGGTGGAACACTTGGGGCAACAGTAAAGGGTGAAGAATGAAAATGGAAATGTGGAAATTACTGGAGCTGGCAGGAAAATACAATTACAATTCTAGATACCAACCAACTAAAATAAAAACTGTTTCACTAATTCATGGGGCAAACTAGTCAGAGGACTATCTAGCACCTGGGGTCCTAATCTTTGCTCTATCCTCAGGAATTAGTTTTCTCTATTTTCTCTTTAGGAAGAGAGGAACAAAAAATATGCTTAGTAAGCTGCAACTATCAAATTCTTTGATCAGTTCAATTTGAGAAATGAGCTTTGCAGTTAACACATGGCCTGCTACCAGGGAAGCTTTCCTGATACAAACTCCCTGATAAAACACCACTGACCAAAATGAGATTCCCTAATTTAGCAGTACAATCGATGCCAACCTGCCCCACACCACTAAGTCCAAAGAAATACTCTTATTCCAACAGTACATTTTATTAAAAAGCAATTTCTAACAGCAAAACTCCTTTACAGTCCACGCAATTAAACACTGTGCAATCTGGAAATCATCTCAAACCAAGGAGAACGAAAAGAGAAACAAAGAGAACTCAAAGCAAAAAAAAAAAAGAAAAATGAAAAAAGAATACCTTTATTTAGTGATCAGTGATTTTTCCACCCATCTGCCCACCCGCCCGGAGTAAGGATGAAATGCATGAAGAAAAGCTGAGGACTTCATAAGCAAATGGGCCTGATTCCTCCTTGCTGGAGTTCCTTTCATCCAGTTCAAGGCTAGCGGGAAAGCTAGGTTTGGGATAGCGTCCTTTCCTTCTCCCTCCCCTCCGAGCAAGGTTAATTGACACGACAAGCCCGGATCATGAGCAGCTGCAAAAGAATGAAGACTGGGGACATGATAAGGCCAAACCAGAGCTCCCTGGTCTGCTCCACCAGCTTCTGGCACAGCAGCATCTCAAAAACAAACTTGAGGCTGAGAATAGTGAGGATCCAGAAGAGGCGCAGCACAGCCAGCCGCTTCTCCCCGTCCTGGAAGAGGCGCACGGACACGATAGTGGTGAAGTAGGTGCTGAGCCCGTCGGCGGCGAAGAAGGGCACGAACACATTCCACCACGACAGGCCCGGGGCCAGCTCGTCCACTCGCAGCGCCAGGAGCACGGAGAACACTAGCAGCGCCAGCACATGCACGAAGATCTCGAAGGTGGCGAAACCCAGCCACTGCACTAGTTCCCGCAGCGAGAACAACATCGCGCCGGTGCCGGCGCGGCCCAGGGCTCCGCTCCCGGCAGGGCCCGGGCCTGCCGCCCGGCGCTGCGCAGCTCGGCGGGGCCGCGCCTCAGCGGGGACCTGGCGGCGGCGGCTGCGGGGACAGGGACAAAGGGTCAGCAGTGAGGGGGGCCCGGCCGCCCTCCGCTCGCTTACGGCGCCCCCAGCCCCGCAGTCGGACCTGGTCCCAGCCCGCCTGCTGACCGAACCGTCACACCAGGTGTCGGTAAGCTCCCAGCCCAGCCGAGACCCCAGCACTTACCTCAGTGGTCCGAGCGGCACCTCCCGCTGCCGCCGCCGCCGCCATGATGTGCCCGTCGCTCACTGATGGCGTCACTTCCCCTGGCACCGGAAGTCAACCCCGGGAGTTGCAGATAGAGGTGGTGGTCCTTTCCCTGTCTCCCTTTCGGTCCTTGCCCTGCACCCCCTCCACCCCTGTACTCGTCTTTCCTTTATCCCGGCCTCACGCTCTGCCCACACACCTGAGGCCCCGCGCCCGTGTCCTCCCCTATCCCATAACCCCTTTTCCCCAGCTGTGGCCTAAACTCCAAATTCTATCTGCCTCGGCTGCCATCCCGTCAACTCTGACCCCATCCCCTTTGACGTATCCCGACTGACTCCAACACTCTAACCCACCCTCCTTCATATCCTGCCCTCCTTCCCAACTCTGACCCCAGCCTCAATTTTAACCCCATCCAATTATAGACTCCCCCAAAGAAACACCCCCTCCGCCAATTCTGACCCTCCTCACGTCTCTGACACTCCCCAACACCAGCCCCATTTCTCAGATGTTGACCCGCAGCCTCCTAATCCTGTTTGGGAGCCAGACAGGGACTTCCCAGGATGTGGCAGAGAGGATCAGTAGGGAGGGCCGGCGGAGGCGGCTGCAATGTAGGGTTCTGGCACTGGATTCCTATGATGTGGTGAGTAAGGTTGGGAGTGCGGTCTTCGCCTAGACTCCCCAGTTTTCTATTCAGGTGTGGGTCCCTGCTCAGGACTTGGGAAAATGTGTGCCCCTGCTTGGCAGAGATGGCACACAGTCCTGCACCTGGGTTTCCTATGTGGGATGATTTAAAGAACTCCAGGAAGGTCACCGTAACCAAAAGTCTTACTCCCACTTAGCTGACTTGGGTCCTCAAATAATACCATTAGAACTTCATATCCAGTGCCCCTGGAAGATGCCAAACATTAAGCCATTAGTTACTAACCTTTTATGATGAAAATAGCTTGTCAGACTTTTCCTCTCTGATGGGTAGCTGAGAACAAGCCAGTTAAACAATACAACAGTACAATTGAGTAAACACTTATTAAGGGTCTTCTGTGTGCAGAGGTCTGTACTAGGTACTGGAGGAGATAAGAGGCAACAAATCTTATGAATCAAGGAGTAAGATGTAGAGCTTATAATCTCATTGCGGGATACAACACAAATATAATAATAATGCACAATATTACACTAAACAAACATTTAAAGTTGCAAAACAAAGTGTTATGTGGTCTGCGGAGAAAGGTTTTGCGGAAGTGATTTAGTCTTGAAGGATGAATAGGTCATCAGATGAAAAATGAGGAAGGAATACATTCTTGGCATAGAAAATGTATAAGAAAAAGTAACAGAGGAGTGAAAGCACCAGGCAGGTTTCAAGGACAGAGTACTTCATAGTGACAGCAACATACCATATGTTGAGGAGAGTAATATAAGATAATGTTGGAAAAATAGAATGGCATTCAATCATGGAAGTCCTAGAATGATTGTCAGAGAGTGGGAAAGAGAAAACATTTGGGAATGTAGGGAACTGCCAGGAGAGCTCAGTCTTGGAGGTGTTTTAAAAGTAAGGCAGTAGAACAGGAATACGGGAGATACCAGGTGGGAAAAGGGGCCAAAAATAAGAACTAACAGAATGGCAAACACAAATTTATTTGTGTTCACATAATCTGATAAGTTCCCTTCTGCTCACATTAATCTCTTTTTCTCCACATTAACCAGAGTGAATTTAAACAGTGGGGACAGATTGAAGAGTAACATTAGGAGTTCTTATCAATTCTTATTCTTCATCTATCTGGGCAACCAGGCCTGATTATATGAGTCTTACCTGTTGAATAGTATGGACCTTGTAAGGAACCACCCCTTTGATGCCACAAGCCAAGTCTATAGTATTTTCTTTCCCATGAATCTGCCAGAGAGTAAAGGAAGGGAAGATTTCTCATGCTGACGTTATGAGAGATCCTTATACCTCTGTCTTTTATATTGAGGTGAATCTGATTAATGAACCACTGGTGATATTTGTTTGTGCAACTACAGGCCAAGGAGACCCCCCTGACAACATGAAGGTAAGGTTTTCTGAATACTTGTGAATGTCCCTGGGGCCCAAAGAATCCCCCCCCCGGTCAGTTCAATTCAACATACATATTATTAAAACAAGTCAGGTTACTGGGCTCATAGGTCTTAAAGACAAAAGAATTGCTATTCTAGATTCATTCAGCCCAGGCTCATATCTCTAATTGAGTCAATACAGTGATAGGTTTGGTAAGGCCATAATCATTTTTCCTGACATCACTACACAGATTGGGGATATCCCCAACTTCTCTTATTGATCTGCTGTAGGTCTGTTGTCTAGGGGTTCATCTAAACACCTCCAAGTCTTAATTGTATTTTTATCCCATATCATCTCTCAAGGTAATAATTCTCAGCTATTTAAATTAAGACAACTTTGATTTGGCTTATATTTACCTCTCTGCAGCCTTATGTTATGGTATACAGAATGATTTGATGAACAAATCTGTTCTTCCCCTCCGATTCCTCCATGATTTTGTTAATTTTTTCTCATTGTTATCAGAGAGAGCAGAACTAGTACTCACTAGTTCTATTAGAAGTAGTAACTAGTAGTTCTGTTACTAGAAGTAACAGAAAGGCAAACTTAGGTTAGATGTGTCTTACAAACTTCTTAATGATTAGAGCTGTCCCAAAGTGGAATGGCCCACCTTAAGAGGTGGGGTGTTCTCCCTCCTTAGAGGGCTTCAAGCAGAGGCTGAAGGACCACTGGCCAGCCATGTTATAAGTGGAGTTCTTTCATGTACAGGTTGGACTAGGTTCCTTCTAACTCTCAGATTCTGTGATTCTGTGATCATAGACTGATCCCATCTCTTTTCACTTTCCATCTCTAAAGACTAAAAAGGCCTTATCTCCAATGATCTGTCACATGAATTACCCTTCTCTGGATTTTGCCTGTTGTTTTATGCCTGTCCTGAGATCCAGCATCAAAGCTGGCCCCAGAATTCCAGATCCAGACACACTTTTGCTGGAAATACTTACCCCACCCAAGATCTGAACTACATGAGTAGTGCCGTATTTATCAGACCCTGACATGAAGTTTTTCTCAGGAAAAGCAAATTAACCTAAAATTACCCTACATGAAAGTAGCAGTCTGTTACTTGGGAAACACTTCTAAAGTTGAAGTCCTCACCCAGACTGCCCTTACAAGCTACACCATTGACTTAGACCACCTGGAGTCCAGATCAGGGAGGTCTGCTTACCCTTAGGGGTATGCCATGTTATGAGCTTCTCAGTTATCTGGATCTGTGGTATCTAAAGAGTGGTTCTAATTTTAGAACTTCTGGAAGTTTATATTCCGAAAAAATCTGCCTCCTACCTCCCTCTGTCAGATGGATTATGCTGTGCTGGGTCTCGGCGATTCCTCCTATGCCAAGTGAGTAGAAAGGTTTAGAAGTGGGAAAAGATAGAAGGCAGCCTGTCTTCTGAGGTTGACCCCACCCTGTGACCCAGTTGTGCCCCTCAGAAAAAGATGGACTCTGTGCTAGATATCTTTGTCAAGATGAACAGGTGCCTTCCCCTTACCCCAGTCCTACTAATTCTTTGAGGTTTCCTAGCCTTCTGCAAGCCTAGAGACCGACCAGGAAATCAGGCGCCTCCCTACCAGTGCTACCTTACCCTCTGGAATCCACACGCCTTCTTTCTGTAGTCTCCTGAGTACTAGTCACGGGATTGTCTTAGCCTGAGAGTTTGCCCATTTCTGGGACTATTACCTAGAACAATTTTGGTGACCTGGGCCTAAGATGACTCCATTGAAATCAAACATCATTAAAACCTCTGTCACAGGGACTCCCTGATCATGCCCCAGCCAAGAGTGCCCAAAGCATGGTACTGTGAAGAAACACTGGGCTGGGACTCAGAGGTCTGAGACTCTAGTCCTGTCCTTGCCCATTCACAGGCAAGTCCTGACCCTCTTTGAACCACTTCTGTAAAAATGGCAGTAATAGCCCCTATGCACACACACTCCCAGACTGATTTCCTGCTGAAGGAAAACGCTTTTTCTGAACAATGATAGGATCACCTGAGAAGAGGGGGTCCCATGGACTAGGAGTAAGAAGTTTTACATTTGTTCGTGTATGGGTTTCTTAGTATATTTTTTCTCTCAATAGGTTTAATTTTGTGGCCAAGAAACTACACCGGCGCCTGCTACAGCTTGGGGGTAATGCGCTCTTGCCCATTGGTCTGGGTGATGACCAGCATGACCTGGGGTGAGTGGGGATTCCAGTGCTGCACAGGCTGAGGCTGATATTCCAGTCAACAAGTATTTATGCAGTACCTACTGTGTGCCAGTCACTGTGGATACAAAGACAAACATGAAACAGTCCCATTTTTATGGAGTTTACATTCTTTTGGGGGAGACAGTATAAATATATGCAAAAAGTAGAAATCTTCAAGGAGCCATAGGTCGGACAAGTAGTGAGTTGCCTGCCAACAGACCTCTGTGCTCCAGTGAAAGGTGTGTGGGTCAAAGTTCAACATAGACACCCCCCCCCCCCCCAAGACATGCCTGCTTGGGCCTCTTCCCCTCCCACAGTTTCTCTCCTGGTACTATGGAGCACATAATATAGAGATGCTTGAGTCTTGATTTGGGAGTAGGATCAAAGGGCAAAGAAGAATGATATTGAACCAAGCCTCTAGCATATGTCAATTATACCTACCTCCTGCCTAGGGTCCTGGTTTGAACGACCCCTAGGAAATGGTGATAG